CGTTAAATTCGAAGCAATATATAAAACAGCATATAAATTTCGCACGCGTAATTCTCTCGGAACAACGTTCATTGTGGCGAAGAAGACAGAAATTCGCGGAACAAGGAGGATCCTTTCCGAGCGCGAGAAGACCGATGAAGCAACGCCGGATGTTGGGCTCGGGAACGGGTGGCACAAGGCAATTCGCCGTAATCCGAACGAGCAACGCAACGATCGCGTCGATAAAGGTCGTCGCGCAGGGGCGCGAGCTGTTTGCTTCTGGTATCGCGACCCGTCGAAATAAAAGCGCGAAAAGCGAGGCGGGGGAGGAGGAAACACGGCTGTGTCGTCCGGGGGCCTTTGTCCGGGGCGGATCGCGATTCTGTACACGTAGCCGCGATATACGGTGACCGACCGAAGGTAGCAACTAGCCCGAAGCCAGGGGCCGGTCGCATTGTGTCGAGAAAGCGACTGCCGGCGTTCGTTGTCCCTTTCCTCCGCCTGTCGGCGACAGGAAGCTCCCGGAATGAGAAGAGAATTATATGAAAACGTTCGAGGCGAACGGAGAAGAAAGAGGGACTGCAGCAAGGAGAGACTGAAAGAGAGAGAGAGAGAGAGAGAGAGAGGGAGAGGGAGAGAGAGAGAGTGGAGAGAGAGAGAGAGAGAGAATCGAAGGAGCACCCCGGGTGAAAAGAGTCGCGTGACTGTGCCACTTCCGGCGGGCAGAAAACCCTCCAAGGTTAGACACCGTCGCCGTACACTTGTCTCTTCCCGAGGAGGGAAAGCGAAGAAGCATTCGCGAAATGTGAACGTGCGCGCGAACGGAAAGGGAAGTTCTTCTGGTCCATCAAGTCGGAATTACCGTGCTCTTGTATTGTGGTCGGGTGGAGGAGGAGGACGAAGACGACGACGACACGCGAGACAAGGCCCCGGACCACGTGCTCGGATCCTTGACCTCTCGGCAAATTGTAGTCATTCGGCGGAATTCTCCACGGTTCTTGTTCCTCTTGCTTCCGGTTTCGGCACGGAATTCTCGCGATAATGATAGACGGCCGACGACTGAAACGATACACGCTCCGCGGCAATGCCGTGTGTGCAAGACGCCTCGGTAATGGAGCCGGATACTGGCCGGGTGACCAATTGCTGTGCCTTTTCCCTGCTCTCGGGCGTAATGAACTTTATAGTTCTCGGAGAAGACGTATTGAAATTTGTTGTTCCGTTGTTTCACTTATTTTTGTATATTCGTATTATATTTATTATAAATATAATATATATTATATTTATATATATTATTATCTATATTATATATTATATTATATTTATATATATTATTATCTATATTATATTATATTACCTTTATATATATTATTATCTCTCTATATTATATTTATATTATATTTATTTTTGAATTAACTTCACATTTATGGAATAAGAGACGTTGCACCGTTTCATTCTGTTACCTTGTTTGTTTTTTAATAAAAAGTTTAATACGTTTCATTCGGCAAATATAAAGTTGATTGGAAAATAAACAAAATGAAAGAATAAAAGAATTTAATATGTGCCAGTCGGAAACAAATCGAAAGCACAGCAACCGATCGCTGCACAGTAATCGGCTCCGCTACCCTGTGTCCATCGAATCGTGCGAATCCACGCTGTACAGGGTGTCCCAAAAATGTTGTAAGATGCAAGCACTTGAAAGGGAAATCTCCTCGGACACAGCTTTGTCGACGAGTTATTAACAATCTCTTATTAATCGCATATATTATCGATCCTTTCGCGATCAAAATCGCTCGGTCGAGTTGATTTTATCGAATCAGACGATTCTCAGAGATTTTGACACGCTGAACACATCGAAAGCTGTTTTTCGTCGTTTATAATTTGTCTTCGATATTTCTTGTTAGGAAGAAATTAGAAATTGAAGGAATTCGATGGAAAATTTACGATAATCGCGTACGTGTTCGAAACGTGGAAAAAGGTTAAAACTTGTTGTACGGTGTAATTAATAGTACATTGTTAGCGAAAACATCCTGTTTTGACAGGCTATCCCGCTCGTGGCTACTCTGACATAATTCATGGGTAACATGACACGACCCGCATGCGGTCATCTTGTTGCGATTGATAAACCATCGGAGAAGTTAAACCGGGTCACGAATAATTACCGTGTCGTAACTCGGACGTTCTCGTGCATTTCTTTCTTTTTTATGGAATTTCGAACGAAACAACGAGTTTCTTGTTTTATTCGAAGCGACAATGACAACGGGATATATATTTCCCGTGTTAAAGCGATAAACTCGTAAAACGCTAAACTTGAATATATCCGTTATTTTGCAGAAATAATTGTTATCTGTTTTCTTGCGTGGGAGAACTTCTTTAAACTGTGCTTATCTACGAGATAACGAGCTTTAATTGAGAGAAAAGCAAGCACAGGCAAAACTCGAGGGGACAGCTTGTTCCAGAGTGGCATCTCGTTTGGGAAGTTTGGAAGTTTAACGAACAGACTTCCTTTTTTCTTTTTTTCTTTTCATTCGTGTATCAAAAACAGTCTTCAAACTTGTCTTACGTTAAACACTGTGTTTATATTTAAGCCTCCGTGGCTCACTGCAGACTTTCTTAAGGAGTTCCAGCAATACTTACGTAAAGTTCGTCTTATCCCTCTGAAGGAATAAAAAAAAAGAAAAACGCAACGTAAAAAGTGCAGGAAATCTCTTCTGATAGCGCATAAGTTTTGTTTTATACGTATGTGCATACTTTTTATGAATAGGTTCATTCGACAAGTATGTACATCGATTTATATTAAGTTGAAACTGACAACTATAATATAATATATAATAAATAATAATTATTAGAATTTTCATAATATAAATCTACGCTTCAATTTTCCGTACGCAAATTGTGTACTGTTTTATCTAATTCTATCACATTTACTTTCAATTTTTTGGAAAGCCCATAACTGCAGTATAACTCGAAGTTCGTACAGACAAATAAAAAGATGTAATATTTTTTAATTGTCCAGACCATGTTAATTAAATTGTTCCCGAGGTCATTTGAAGTAACTTTTTCCTCGGCGAAAATGCAACCCGCGGCTTCGTTTGCGAGTTATTAACGAAAAACAGTGACCAATGAGAAGCGAGCTCGACTGGCACGAGGCGGAGTTCCGCTTTCAGTTCCGCCGATTGGCTCGGACGCCTCGCAAGCATACCTCGCGCCAACCGAGCTCGCCTCTCATTGGTCAAGCATCTTTCGTCAATAACTCGCGAACGAAGCCACGGATCGCATTTTCGCAAAGGAAAAAGTTGCTTCAAATGACCCGAGGAACCCCCCACTTCCAGATTAAGAGACATTTTTGTGACAGCCTGTACAACGATCCATGTAAACCGATCTACTTCCGAGATGTTCTTGCAAACAAAGTAGCAACACGCGTGCCGAAATTTCTCGGGATCGTAGACCAAGGTCTGCGCGGCGAACTATAAAAATAACTGGACGTTGAATAACGTGACATCCGGCCATTGCAGAAAGTTCTTATCGTGTCCGAGTATAAGTAATCGGAATTCTCGCGTCTATGTATGTATGTATGTATGTGAGAAATTATGCCGCAGGTGCATTATCGAAAGCAAATTTGCTAAGAAGTTAAACGACTCGTTCAAGTTTCAAACTTCCATTCGACGGCTGTATAAAGAACGATATCCGCTTCAAGAGTCAAGATCGGTTCGTGAATGATCGATCTCGTAAAAGAGAGAAGGTACGTAACTCTGGTTTCTCACGTACCGGCTTGAGCACGTTCGCGACCAAATCCAAAGGCTTCTTTGAGGGACAGTAAAACTTCTCCGGTAACTTCGTACCTCCGAGCGTGCGCCCTGCTCTTTCATGTGTGTTCGCCGACCAACTCGGAATACCTAGCCGGCTTTGGACGAAGTGAATCTCAAGTGACGTCGACCTAATTGTGCACGATCGTACGTGTACGTACAAACGCGCCGGAGAAAATAACCAGCCGTCGAAGACAAACAATCGAAACGGAGAGATTCGCGAACGGTGCGCGTTCCGCCTCGCGATTAGATTCGGCGATACGGTAATGTCTCCCTTATCGACGCTCAAATTGTCCACAAAAATGGACAACTCGACTTCGTGGCTCGTTTTTCCACTCGCCGATTGTTAACAATTATAAAATCGAAGCGCAAGGTTATTTTGCGTCTCCTCCTGTTCCCGAATTGTCCATTTTTTTAAATACAATCTGAGCGTCGATTAGAGAGGCATTACTGTACGGCGATGTCTCCGTTACTGACGCTCAGATTGCGTACAAAAATGGACGATTTGGGACGATTTGCAGCTCGTTTTTATAATCGTTGACAATTCGTGACTATAAACATTTATAAAAACTCTTCCCAAATTGTCCATTTCTGTGGACAATCTTGGCGTCAATTAGAGAGACATTACTGTATTGCGCGCCGCGGAACTGAGCTGTATCTAAAAACGTTGGAAACGTTCGAAGGAACGAAAAATATCTAAAGTTTACGATATTTAATTTCTTTTTTTACAATATTTGCTGCTGGAAATCGGATTGTCACCTAATTGCATTCCGAATTGATCTGCATATCAAATTGTAGATCAAATTGTAGATCAAATTCACCGTTTTGCAAATTAGATGCTCGCTCGTTTTGCGATCGTTTACGATAACGTTTATATTAAATAAAAAAATAGCAATCTACATTTTACAAACAATTATCGAAGACGTACGAATGTTAATTATTTTCGATAAAAATTTGCATTACATCACAAACGAGGACAATAAATCCATATTAAATTTAATAATGCAATGAGGGATAACAGATTTTTACGTGTAACGGGATATAAAAAATGATGCGCAACGCAATTTTCCAGGACTCGGAAATGAATGCGACTCGACAGAAGTCGATTTGAACGTCCATTTCGTCCGCTTTAAGCAAAATTTCGAAAGCCAATATAAAATATAAAAAGTGCAAATAAATAACGAAATCTTGAACCGCGAAATCTTGTTTCTGTTCCAGGAGAACGACACGATACGCTTCCGGGTCACGTTGGAAGACGAAGTACCCGCGGGTCAGCAACCGAACATCGTCGGTGTCGATGCATTCGTGATCGTGCTCGACGAAAACGACAACCCGCCGCGTTTTCTGGGCATACCGTACGAGGCCGTGGCCGAGGAGGACCTTCCGGTTGGTACGACAGTTCTGGCGGGTATTAGAGTAATGGATCCTGACATGCTGGGCGACAACATAGATCTGACCTGTGTTCCTCAGCCACAGGTGAGTCATTAATACTCGTTACTACGCTAATATCGCATAGAAATGATATTACACCTTACACGTGGAACTTCTCCTTTATACGCTCTGTAGATACGGTGAATTCTCCTCTCGCTGCTTTTTCGTTAACCCTTTAGAAACTCGCTCCAGAAATATGCACAGTGCGCGTGGTTTCTGTATATATGTTGTTCTAAATCTTAAGTAATAACTGTTGCTCTAATGTAACAAGTATATTTACATTTTTCGTTTAAAAAGATTTACAAAATTATAAGTAACACAGGTATTTGTATAATTACAAAGCCTAACGATTAAATGTTTAATATAATCGATAACGAGACGAAAATTATTAAAAGATAATAATATGTGAAAACTAATAATATAATTCTGTGTGCGATATATTTGAAAGCAAGGATCTACAGGGTGTCCCGAAAATGTCTCGCAATCCGGAAATGGGAGGTTCCTGGGGTCATTTGAAGCAACTTTTTTTCTTTGCGAAAATGTTCTCCGAGGCTTCGTTTACGAGTTATCAACGAAAAACACTGACCAATAAGAGGCGAGCTCGGCTGACGCGCGGCGGCCCAGCCAACGAGTGCGCGGAGCCCAGTTCCGCTCATTGGCTCGGCCGTCTCGCGCCAAATGACCTCGCCTCTGATTGGTCACTGTTTTTCGTTGATAACTCGTAAACGAAACCGCGGATTGCATTTTCGCTAAGGAAAAAGTTGCTTCGAGTGACCTCAGGAATCCCCTACTTTCGGATTGCGAGACATTTTTGGGACACCCGCGTACCGCGAATCCGTTCTTTTACCATTTCTGCTACAAATTACACATCTGCGTCTTCTGTATACACCTCGTTTCGATACCGCATATATACGACGCTCGGCGCGAAAGAGTTAATAATTCGTAAACGACGCCGCGGATCGCATTTTCGCGAAAGAAAATGTTACTTCGAACGACCTCGGGAACCCCCCTTGTTTCCGGATTACGAGACATTTTTGGGGCACTCTGTATATAGAACGACGTTTTCGGCGTGGAAATTGCAATTCCGAAGACAGTGGCGTACTCGGTAACTCGCTCGCCATAGAAAATTCAAGCGATTCCGAGATGAATCCTCCGCTGTGGGAGTTTATATTGTCGTATTAATATATTACGGAAGATACAGCCGGAGAGAGAATATGCAGCACGTTGAATTAAATAGCGAAATGCCCCGAGATTAATTTCGTAGACGCTGCTAGCAAGCGAGCCCGAATTTATCTCGTAACAATTAATCATGCCCCGTAGAAAAGTCAAAAATCGTGCACGGAAAGAAGCCGGTTTGGTAACAACGTTTCTCATTTTATTTGTCATTTAATAGCGGACACCGTGACACTTTTAGCTGCGCTGCATCAGTCTCGTCTGTCGCAAAAAAAGTCTAATTTATTATATGTTATATATAATATTATTCTATGGTATATTCGAGTCGTCGCACAAAAAATTCGATCTACCCTTATACGAATATTGAAACGAAACGAGAAGATGTTCGAGGGACCAATTATTATTGCTCGATTGTTATTTCGATTCGAATGTTTTTAGCTAGAAATAATAGTAGAATAATAATAGAAATAATACAAAGCTGAGATTCAATTCAGTTTCTTTTAACAAGTTACTATTCAACGCTGGATTTACGGAATGCGTCAAAATGACGGGTCGCTAATTTTTTAATTTACGATTATTCGTATCGCGAAGATACGTTTACGAGTTTTATTTATTCAATTTATATGTTACTTACAAATAACTATTATAATAACGCTTGTTAAAAATCAGAATAAACGTCTTGCTGTTACTTTTACAAGCTAACGTAAAACAGCTGCTTTTTGTGCTAAATAAATGCTAAATTAAACGCTAAATAAATTAGCGTTAAACAAGTTATTTTGGTCGTCTGAGACATTATTTTTCAGACGAAGACATTTCCTAAAAGCAGAATTCGTCCAGATTCGTCCAGATTCTCGTTTCGATCGTTAGCCGGGGCCCCCCGTTTTCGGGAACGCGGCTGATTTAACGGGATCCGGCAAATAATGAACGGATTCGGCGCTCCGTTAGACGTCCTAAACAAAGATTTACATTTTATCCGGGCCATACGTTTGCGAGCAGCACACGAAGGATATTCTTGCATCTTTCATCCGGGCGGCCGCGGCATGAATTCAGGGTAATAGACCTTTCCGGTGCAAGTTTCAGTCGCCGAATCCCGAATGAAAAGAAGCTGATCTATAAAACAGTATCCGCTCATTTCCGGCCCGATTAATATTTCACCTTGCTATGCACACGTAATTCCGCGCAACAGAAGTATACACACACGCCGCAAAGGAGATTAATCGATCCTACACCGACCGGCGCTGCTTCCAATTAGGTTTTAACGCGTACGAGACTACACACCTACCTTCGGAATCTTTAACCTTTAACTACCCCGAATCGACTGACCTGGACGCTAATCGATTCCACGGACACGTTTGCACGTCGACGACGATCGTGCGCGCATAATCGTCGTTGAAAACGGTGCGCGCGGCGTCCGAGGATCGAAGGACAATCGGATGCGAAGCAACGAAGAGACGTCGAAAGAATTCGCGAACGAACCGGTGTCACGCTGTTCCACGACTCGTCGCAATTATCTCGGAACGTAATTATAGCCAGCGTAATTGAATTGTCCGGTATACTTTACCAGCCCCGGCGCGCGGCAAAGGATTAAATTATTACCCCAAATGGAGTAATTCTAATCAGCGGACCGTGGAGCTCCGCGCGAAATAAAAATCTCGACGAGTCAATTTCGTAAAGAGACGGACGGTTAAATAGAAATCAATGTTTCTCGTTCGATCATCGAGTTGATTCAACGTTCGTTCTCTCGCGAAATTGACCGATCGAAATTTTTTTTATTTCTCCCGTAGCTCTCGCGGCCCGCTGATTAGAACGAGAGGGGGGGTAATAATTTATTCTTTGCTCTGCAACAGCGCTAGTAAAGTATACCAGAAAATTCAATTACGTGGCGAATAGCGCGAGCTTTGAAAAAAAAATAAGAAGAAAAAAAGAAGAAGAACGTTAAGGAACATTTAATGGCCGAGCATTGTACGGCATTTCATTGTATAAAGAAAGGAGACGTTAAAGTTCACCGTCGCAAAGCCGTCGGGCCATTAGTTAAAGAGTTTTACAGTTTTATTGGTCGTCCAACGGCTCCCTGAATTTATCGAGCGGATATGACGTAGATGGCACGGCGTTTGTACCCGCTAATATTCCAGCTGCATCTTTCCGGTTTCCTCGCGGAACTTCCGCGGCCAGATAATATTCCCCGCCGGTGGCACGGTGATAAACGTATCGGAATACGCTCTGTTTTTTTTCTTTTTCTTCTCGAAAAGGAAACAAGAAAAAAGAGCGGCGCGCGCGCGCGTCCCCGATGCATACGTTGGTCATTTTTCTTACGGTCCGATCGCTTAAAAACCTGTGCAACGAATGCTCGGTTATCGACCCCCCCCCCCCCCCCCCCCCCCCCCCCCCCCCCCACCTAAAC